CCTGGAGTAAAAGACGTTGGCGACCGATCGCTGAAAGTAGCGGATCACAGGACTTCGGATTTGGTTGCTCTTAGACCGCGCCGAGTTTAGCGGTAGATTGTTCCCTATAGTGGCCCACAAATCCTTAAGCTCCTCTTTGTCAAATCTGGGTTTGGTTCCCTTTCCACTAGGGTAACCAAACAGTTCTTCTAACTTCTTGATCAAAAGCTGATACCGCTGTTCATTCACTGAGAACGTCAAGAAGCCTAACCCCATGGTATCCAGCTCAAAGTCTGTGAGTGCCTCATACATCTCCACTTGCAGCGTGGAAAGAAACTCGATTGTCTCCTCCTTATAGGCAGGGTAAGGGTAAGACATGAGTGTCTCCAGATGACACTTCTCGAACAGATGCTGCACGTCCTCCAGTAACCCCAGCTGGGCTAAAGTCTCATAACACGGATACCTCGTTCCCCAGAAGTCATTCATCTCGAAGAATCTAATATACTCCTCCCTTGTAACCTCGTCTGGTTTGTTCAGCAGCTTCGTCTCCCTGCGCCATGACTCTGGCTCATACTCACTTTCGATATCCTCATCAATCAGCTCATACCTACTTGACATCGCCCTCTTTCCTCTGGCGATTTCAGCTCTTCGCTGATTATGTCGGGCTGCAGAGCGTTCGAGTTCATCCCTGAAGCTCTGGTATACATGTTGCTCTCTCGGTCTAGCAGACCAGGACTCAGCTTCATCCACATTGTAATCAGGGTCCATAGAGGATTCTCCGCTGTAGTTACTCATTACGAAACCTGAAAACAAATGTAACTAAAAAATAAACGTTAATACGTTAGTTCCAACAAGACCAAATAAAACAAACCACACAAACCAAAAACAGGTAGAGTAAACCGGTCGAGTGTACCAAAATAGTTTTTTTTTTTTTTTTTTTTTTTTTTTTCGGTTCGGTCGAGTGAATTCTGTGGCGGTCGAGTGACTTTTGATCGAGTATTGTTGAAGGCGAATTGATGGCAGAGGTCGAGTGTTTGATGAGCTTGAGAGGCGGAGGTGTTCTTGCGGCGAAGTCGAGTGAAACGACTACAAATGAAGAGGTGAGGGACGATTCTTCGAGTGAGTGGATGGTGAGAAGCGGCGTGGTAAGAGGCGGATTGTAGGAGGTTGAGTGAATGGAGCAAAGCGGTGGAGTTGATGATGAGAGATGTGAAGTGAATCGAGTGAAGCTATAATGGAGGAGAATCAATTTGATTGGTTTGGAGAGGTCGAGTGATTGAAACGGAGAGCTCGAGTTGCTTCCTTGGAGAGTGTGAGCAGGCGGTGATTGTGGAATGATGGTGAGAAGCGGCGATCGAGTGAAGCTTGTGAGAAGAGAAACGGCTGTTTGGTCAATTGGTGAAGAGGTCGAGTGGTGCTTTGGACAAAAGATGATGGCGCTAAAGTCGAGTGATTGAGGGATGGTCGAATGGAGACGGAGTGTGAGCGAGAAGTGTTTGGTCGAGTGTTTGAGAGATGGTGGAGTGTTTGAGGAAGAGAAGTGGCGAGGTCGAGTATTTGTGGAGAGAGGGGCGATGGGATCGAGTGAATTGATAAGATGAGGTCGAGTGGTGGGGATAAGGTGCGTTGAGGTCGAGTGGGGAAGAGACGAAGAAGATAGATTCTTGTCTTCTGGTCAGTTGCATGGAGGACATGGGCGTCAGCGGCGGGTCCCACAATGTCTTCTTGTCTCTTCTCTGTATTCTCTGTTCACTAGGAAAGCTCCAGAAAATCCCGCAATCTTCTCTAAACTTGATGAACTCTCTGTAAGACTCTGTAGCTCCTATTGGTCGAATAAAATGATGATTTAAATTTTTTAGGTTTTTAAACATCACTCATACTCGACCACTATACTCGATCTCTAGGCCATCAGTAGAGTAAAAGTTTTGAATTTTTACTCTACCTTCACGTTACTCCTTTCTTCCTGAGAACAACAAACACAACCAAAACAAATCAAAAATAACAATAAAGTAAAAATTATTTACAAGGATAGTCATGGGACTTCCTCCCAAGTGAGCTTGTTTAAGTCTCTATCTTGATTCCTCACACTCATCGAGAAGAAAATGAATGATAGAGAGGGTCTGCATAGTCCTCTCTAGTATCATCATCATACCCAGCGTCCTCCCTGGAGAGGTCTGCAGCAGAATACTCAATTCCCCTTTCTTCAAAATAGGTTTCCTTCTCTTCTGGAGGGTAATCTGTCTCTTGAGACCATCTTGAAGTGAATTCTTTTCTCGCGATAGTGTTAATCCCGCCTTTAGGTTGAGCTTCCTTCTGCATCTGATTCAGCTTACTCCTAAGTTCCTCAATAGTGTGGGCTAGCTTCTCTATAGTTTCATCTTGCTTATGAGACCTCTTTTTAAGTTCTTTCACTCTTTCAGTCTCATATCCTTCTCCTGAGATCGCTCTATCATTTCTAGAGGTTCTTCCATCTTCTGTTGACCCTTGTGGAGTTCTGTTGATGTTAAAGTGCAACTTGATGTGCTTTCCAAGGTTGAGACCTATTTTCCCTTCTCTGACATCTATCACTGCTCCCACTGAAGCTAAGAATGGTCTTCCCAGTATTAAGGGATCCTTATGCTCTACTTCCATATCCAACACCACGAAGTCTGTAGGCACTTCTACTCCATTAATCATGACTGGTAGGTCTTTCAGCATGCCGAAGGGTTTTCTAGAAGACCTATCCGCAAGGATCAAAGTCAGGTCACAAGGTTTATACTGAATGAACTCTAACCTTCTTGCCACAGAGAGCGGCATCAAGCTAACAGAGGCTCCGAGATCGCACAGACAATCGCTGAAAGCAAATTCCCCAATGAAACATGGTAGAGTGAAAGATCCATGATAACACTAGATTTTAACCTTTTTAAGCCCTTGTTTTTCATGCATTTAGCTTAGTTTCATGCCCCTTTTCATGCATTCTTAGTCTCTTTTCCTTCTTTTTCACATTTTGCATTGCATTGCATAGCATACTTGCATTTGGAGTGTTTTGCAGGTGAATTAGGTACTTTTGGACTCAACTTGGAGGTTTCTAGCACAAGGGATGGACAGACTCGAGTTCGGGGAACCTAAGGAAGGATTTGAAGTATACTCGGCCTACGTACTCGGCTGGAGGCCGAGTGGAGCACACGTGAAGAACAAGGAGCCTACTCGACCAAGGCACTCGGCTGGAGGCCGAGTTGTGCACTTAAGGATGAAGAGAAGCTACTCGACCAAGCCACTCGGCCTAGAGCCGAGCTGTGTGACCAAGACCAAGCCACTCGGCTTTTCTACTCGGCCTAGGGCCGAGCGCTCCTGCGCCGACTTATCTTTTTTGTCTTATTCTCAATTAGGGCAACCTAGGATTGCCTATAAATAGACCTCTTATGTTTTTGCCCAGGGGAGCTTCGTTTTGTCCACTGGATATTAGGGTTCCTTGATTTTCTTTTGCATTTTCTGGTTGTTGTGTTGAGAATTTGGATTTGATTTCTTCTGCAAACTTGTTTATCTCATTGAGATCTATCTTTTGCTAAGTTTATAATGATTTCTGAGTTTTATGAATTTTCTGGGTTTTGTTCTATGATGTTCTTCATTGTTCTTGAGTAGTGTTCTTCAGAGTTCTTGAGGATGGGTTAGGTTTAGGTGGATTCCTCTCTTCTTTAGCTAGCTAAGTGTTTATATGCATGATTCCCTTCTGTTTTAGGAGTTCTTAATGCTATTTTCTTTCTGATCAATTGAAAATTGATTTCAGACTTTCTCCATCCAAAAGATGTTTGATGAAATGTCTGAACCAACTAATTTCAGAGATTTGTAGATTCTAGCCCAAGGAATTGGATGATTAGACTGCTTATTGACTTTAATAGATTGGTGTTTAAAGCCTGCTTTATTATGTTTCATCAACGGAAGTTGAGATTAGGAAGTTCTAAAGTTATGAGAATCACTCACACGGAAGTGGCTTGATTTGGTTTTGAATCTATTGTCTAGGGATAGCTTGATTGAGTTTGTTAGTTAGCTAATGGATTGAGGAGTCCACTAAGACCAATTACCCCATTCTTAAGAGCTCTGTTTCGTTTATTTGTGCAAAACTCGTGTTTTTAGTACTCTGTTCGTTTCGTGCAAAATTGGTGTTTTTAGTATTGTACTCGACGTGCTTACTCGATTGCTCGACCGAGTGCTTTACCTAGTGCTTGGTTTACTTTCTGTTCTTGTTATTTGATCTGCATGTTAACCTGTTGCTTAGGTTTAGTAGAAACACACCAAACTTATTCACACTTGGCTTGACTTAGTATTCTCTGATCATATCCTGATTGATAGCAATTACACCCATTTGGATTGACACCTTAAATGCTGCAATGACATAAGATGCATTTAGGGAATTGACACAGAAAACCCTTTGTATCAATTTGGCGCCGTTGCCATTTGGGTGTTTTTCTTGTTACATTTAGGATTTCTGAGTTATTAAGATCAAGTTCTACTTCTTTCTTTCCGGTTACTCACTTGTTTCTTCATTTGCTTGTTTTTGTTTTGCAGGCACTCATACTCGACTAGCAGGTCGAGTGTAAGGGTCGAGCATCACCACAACTTGCTTATTCCTTTCGAATCTGGTCACCATGGCTAATGAGGAGATTATTTGTGAGTTGCCAGGCAACATTGGTGCTGGAGATGCACCAAGATATCACCATCAACGAGCTGGTATTGTCCCACCTCCTGTTCAGAATGAGAATTTTGAGATCAAGAGTAGTCTTATCTCCATGATTCAAGGTAACAAGTTTCATGGACTGCCAATGGAGGACCCATTGGATCATCTTGACAACTTTGATAGACTCTGTAGTCTCACCAAGATCAACGGAGTTAGCGAGGACAGTTTCAAGCTCCGGTTATTCCCTTTCTCACTTGGAGATAAAGCACATCTTTGGGAAAAGACTTTGCCTACTTCTTCTATAAGCACTTGGGCTGATTGTAAGACAGCTTTCCTAGCTAAGTTTTTCTCTAACTCAAGAACAGCTAGATTGCGGAATGAGATTTCGGGATTCCATCAGACGACTTCTGAATCATTTTCTGTAGCATGGGAACGTTTCAAAGGATATACAACCCAATGCCCGCACCACGGTTTCACGAAAGCTTCCCTCCTCAGTACTCTATACCGAGGTGCTTTGCCCAAGATCCGATTACTATTGGATACAGCTTCAAATGGTAACTTTCTCAACAAAGATGTAGCCTCTGGATGGGAACTCGTGGAAAACTTGGCTTAATCTGATGGGAACTATTGTGATGAATTTGATCGATCCATTCGAGGAGCCACTGATAAGGAAGACGGCCACATAAAGGTATTACAGGCTTTGTCTGACAAGATCGATAAGTTGGTCATTGCTTTACCTAGACCAATTGTTGAACGACCTATTCATTACATCACCGACGAGGAGCAACAGCAGATTCAGGAAGGGCAATCCTACTCATATGAGGAAGTGAGCTACATACAGAATCAAGGTGGCTACAACAAAGGATACAACAACTACAGGCCACCTCCTTCTAACAACCCCTACCGAAGCAACACTGTGATTCCCCCACACCCTCCGGTTTATCCTCCTTATCAGCATCAACCTCCGCCCTATGTTCCATTCCCAAATAGTTTCAACCCCGGTTCGCACCCTATCCCAACTCCACCAATACCAACCCCACCTGTTCCTGACTTTACAGCCCTACTGCAGCAGATCGTCCAAAGTTAGAATAGCGGTGTTTCGGTAATCGAAAAGCATTTGGCTGAAATAAATACCAAGATGGCATCTTCTTTAGTCGATCTCCAAAGACAGATTGACACTTTGAAATCTACAATCAACCCTGAAGAAGGGCGAGTTGTATCTACTTCAGCACCAGCACATAGCTCCCAACTCAAAGGGAAGTCTATCCATCATTCCCAGGAGTATGCTCATGCTATCACACTTCACAGTGGTAAGGAACTTCCATCTCCACCAGGTTACACACCAGTCACTGAGGACAGTGAAGTTCAAGAAGGGGAGGATTTAACTCCAGAATCAGACCAGAGAGTCGAACTCGACCAGGATACTCTGCCTGCTAACCGAGCACAAGTTCCAATTCATGAGAAACCAGCTGCTGAAGAAGATAAGAGGAAAGTGTTCATTCCACCGCCCTATAAACCCAAACTTCCTTTTCCAGGAAGGTTCAAGAAGCAAATTTTGGAAAAGTACAGAGTCATGTTCTCTAGGCATATCAAAGAGATAGAGCTCAAGATGCCACTCATAGATGCCTTTATGCTTATTCCAGATTCTCACAAGTTCTTGAAAGATATGATCATGGAAAGAATTCAAGAAGTTCAAGGAATGGTAGTGTTGAGTCATGAATGCAGTGCCATATTACAAAGGACGATGATTCCTAAGAAGTTAGGTGATCCAGGTTCCTTTACACTACCTTGCTCCTTAGGCCCTCTAGTTTTCAACAAGTGATTATGTGATCTTGGAGCTTCGGTCAGCCTTATGCCGCTATCTATTGCGAAGAGGCTAGTATTTTCCAAGTACAAACCATGCTACATTCAGCTAGTTCTTGCTGATAGGTCAGTGAGAATACCTCATGGCATGTTGGAAGATTTGCCGGTGAGGATCGGATCAGTAGAAATCCCAACTGACTTCGTGGTTCTAGAGATGGATGAAGAACCTAAGGATCCTCTCATATTGGGAAGACCCTTCTTAGCTACTGCTGGAGCCTTGATAGATGTCAGAAAAGGTAAAATTGATCTAAACCTTGGGGGAAACCTAAATATGACCTTTGATATTAAGAAAACCATGAGGAAGCCAACCATTCAGGGTCGAGTTTTCTACATTGAAGAGATGGATAGATTGGCAGATGAGTTGCTTGAGGAACTTAATGAGAAAGATCATTTACAAAGCGCTCTTACCAAGGATGGAGAAGAGGGATACCTATACTTAGAAACTCAGGGTTACAAAGACCTATTAGACTCCAATAGACCGGTAGAAGCATGGGAGACATTTGAGGAGTTGAATATCTGTTCGGAAGAGGTCAGCTCAGTCACAGAAAAGGAAGGAAGTTCTACTCGACCTGTGTACTCTAGCAGTCAATCGAGCAAGATAACAGAAGGAACTAACTCGACTGAAACAGCCGAGGATACTCGATCGAGCAACATCTCTGATGATTGGTCAGAACTTAAAGCTCCAAAGGTTGACCTTAAGCCTCTCCCAAAAGGTTTGAGGTACGCATTTCTTGGTCCTAATGACACTTATCCTGTCATCATAAATGATGAACTGAGTGATGAACAAGTGCATCAATTATTGACCGAACTTAGGAAGTATAGGAGAGCAATTGGATATTCATTGGCAGACATTAAGGGAATTTCACCTAGTTTATGTACTCATAGAATTCATCTTGAAAATGAATCATATTCTAGTGTTGAACCACAAAGAAGGCTGAATCCAAATTTAAAAGATGTGGTGAAAAAGGAAATCCTGAAATTGCTTGATGCTGATATTATCTATCCTATTTCTGATAGCACTTGGGTCTCGCCAGTTCATTGTGTTCCTAAGAAAGGGGGGATGACTGTAATTAAAAATGATCATGATGAGCTCATTCCTACTAGGACGATAACAGGACATAGAATGTGCATTGACTATAGGAAATTGAATGTTGCAACTAGAAAAGATCATTTTCCTTTGCCATTCATTGATCAAATGTTAGAGAGGCTAGCTAATCATGTTTATTACTGTTTTCTTGATGGTTATAGTGGTTTCTTTCAAATTGCTATTCACCCTAATGATCAGGAAAAGACTACTTTCACTTGCCCCTATGGAACTTTTGCTTATAGGAGAATGCCTTTTGGTTTGTGTAATGCGCCTGGAACTTTCCAGCGAAGCATGACTTCTATATTCTCAGATTTCATCGAGGAGATAATGGAGGTATTCATGGACGATTTCTCAGTCTATGGATCCTCTTTCTCCTCATGTTTGTTAAACTTGTGCAGAGTTCTAGGAAGGTGCGAGGAGACAAACTTAGTTCTCAACTGGGAGAAGTGCCACTTCATGGTTCAAGAAGGAATAGTGCTTGGGCATAAAATCTCAGGAAAGGGGATTGAAGTTGATAAAGCCAAGATTGACGTTATGGTTCAGTTGCAACCGCCTAAGACGGTTAAGGATATTAGGAGTTTCTTGGGACATGCAGGATTCTACAGGAGATTCATCAAGGATTTTTCCAAGATTGCAAGACCTCTGACTCGCCTGTTGTGCAAAGAGGCCGAGTTCGTTTTTGATGAAGATTGTTTAAAGGCTTTTCACTCCATTAAAGAAGCCTTAGTGACGGCACCCATTGTGCAAGCACCTAACTGGAACCACCCTTTTGAGATTATGTGTGATGCTTCAGATTATGCTGTGGGAGCGGTTCTAGGTCAACGGATTGACAAGAAGCTTCATGTGATCTATTATGCTAGCAGGACTTTGGACGACACCCAGAGTAGGTATGCAACCACCGAGAAGGAGTTATTGGCTGTAGTCTTCGCTTTTGAGAAGTTCAGGAGTTACTTGGTTGGTTCAAAAGTCGTTGTCTATACGGATCATGCAGCGTTGAAGCACATCTATGCAAAAAAGGACACTAAACCTAGACTTTTGAGATGGATACTACTTTTGCAGGAATTTGACATGGAGATTGTTGATAAGAGAGGTTCAGAGAACGGGGTAGCGGATCACCTTTCAAGAATGAGGGTGACAGAAGCAGCCCCAATCGATGATTCTATGCCCGAAGAACAACTCCTAACAGTTGGGATCGGTTTTGACAGGTTTAAGGTTGAAACAATGTGTGCTACAAGGAATGGTAAATCGCCTTGGTATGTGGATCTTGTTAACTACTTAGCTGCTGGAATAGTCCCTAATGAGCTAAGCTCCTACCAGAAGAAAAAGTTTTTCAGAGACATTAATCACTACTATTGGGATGAGCCATTCTTGTATAAGAAAGGAGTAGATGGTTTGTTTAGAAGATGTATTGCTGAAGAGGAAGTTCAGGGAGTGTTAGAGCTTTGTCACAATTCACCTTATGGAGGTCACTTTGCTACTTTCAAGACAGTTCAGAAGGTTTTACAAGCAGGATTATGGTGGCCTTCTATGTTTAAAGATGCACATGAGCACATAACAAGATGTGATCGATGCCAGCGAGTTGGTAATATCTCTAGGAGAAATGAGATGCCTCAAAACCCGATCCTTGAAGTAGAGATTTTTGATGTGTGGGGAATCGACTTCATGGGACCTTTCGAGCCAGCTTCATATGGAAACAAGTACATCTTGGTAGCTGTGGATTATGTGTCAAAATGGGTGGAAGCAATAGCTAGCCCAACAAATGACTCCAAGGTGGTTTTAAAACTTTTTAAAACCATCATTTTCCCAAGATTTGGTATTCCAAGGGTTGTAATAAGCGATGGGGGCTCACATTTTATCAACAAGGTTTTTGAGAACCTTTTGAGGAAGAATGGGGTTAAGCACAAGGTAGCTACTCCCTATCACCCTCAGACTAGTGGACAAGTCGAGGTTAGTAACAAGCAGATCAAGGCTATCCTAGCTAAAGTTGTAGGGATATCAAGGCGAGATTGGTCAACTAAGCTTGATGACACCCTTTGGGCCTATAGGACAGCATTTAAAACCCCAATAGGAAGAACCCCTTTTTAGCTTCTTTATGGTAAGTGCTGTCATCTCCCTGTTGAAGTAGAATATAGAGCCATGTGGGCAACCAAGCTTCTAAATCTTGACATAGGGACAGCACAAGAAAAAAGGTCTTTAGATCTTCATGAGCTTGAAGAGATAAGGTTAGAATCATATGAGAGCTCCAAGATCTACAAAGAAAGGACTAAAGCTTTTCATGACAAGAAGATTCTGCCTAAGGATTTTAAAGATTGTGATCAAGTGTTACTATTCAACTCAAGGTTTAGACTGTTTCCGGGAAAACTCAAATCAAGATGGTCAGGCCCTTTCACTATTAAAGAGGTACTACCCTTTGGTGCAGTTGAGATAGTCTCAAGAGAGGGTAATGAGTTTAAAGTTAATGGGCAAAGACTCAAGAAGTACCTAGCGGACAGCATCATTCCCGAGGGATCAACAGTCCACCTTC